GCCAGGGGCGGGGGCCCGGGGGCAGAGCCAGCCGAGACGCGGCCGCTCCTCCGCCCTTGCTCCTTCTCCTTTATCCCAGGCGTGTGCTGCACTGCAAGGCCACAGAGGCTCAACCGTCAGCTGCCTGGCCGTCGCCGTGTCTCTCTGGAAGTTTGTTTGCAAAATAAGGGTGTTCTCAACCATGTTTGTAGCTGTTTGATGTTAGTTACGTTAATCTTTTTTTTTACAGGGGAATCGGAAGAACTGAGAGGCTTGCTTCAGAATCCGCATCTCAGGCAGCTGCTGCTGACGGTCGACCAAGCAGAAGACAAAAGCTCCCTCATGAAGAAGTACATGCAGGAGCCGTTATTTGTTGAGTTTGCGGACTGCTGTCTGAGGATCGTTGAGCCTCCGGAGAAGGAGAACATTCTTCCCGAGTGAGCTCCTTTGGGAACATTTTTCTTTCCTTGAGATTTCCCCGTTTGTCAGCACGCCGTGCTGCTGTGGTGCCCCAGTCTGCGCTGCCCCAAGGTGTGGTCACTCTTTGCTCACGGGTGTCAGTGCTCTGATTTTTGATTTAGAGTTGACAACCAGTGATGCAGTGTTGGGCAGATTTCTAGATCGTAGGAATTAAATGTGATGTTCTGTGGACTTGCTTTGTGTTGGTACAGAAATACTGTCAACCATGGGGAATGTTGCTACCCAGTGACCATATTAAATATATTTGCATTTATTTTAATCCACAAACTATTCTGAAATGTTTTTGTTAACTAAACCGTGTCGCGGATGGTCAGGCACCTTTACAAGGTATTGAAGAGTTTATTTAGAAGTGGCATACACAGAACAGCTTAACATTTCCAGGACCCACACAGGCAACAAAGAGACGGCACAGAGCGCTTCTGATGAAACCCTGGCAGAGGAAGCACTATGGACGAGGTAGTGCTAGAAACCCACCGCCAGTGTGAGACGACACCTCTTTTGGTCCCGGTGTGAGAGTACAGATATTTTGGTCCTATAGATAAAAAGCGAGAGTCTGGTCTGGCTTTTCCCTGAGCCGTGCCGTTAGTGTTACAGCTGACTGCTGTTCGCTGCCTGTTCCCACCGAGAATCCCACACGCATCTGGCGTGCTTGCACTCGTTACTCTTGCTTCTCTCAGGTAGTGGCAGAAGTGTTCAGTTCAAGTATATATGGCTTAAAGCACTTGATCTGTTTTAATTATGTTGAGTGTTTTCCTAGTATTGATATTTCCTCTAATATGTGCATGTGTGGGAGCAGAGCAATGCCCCCTCCCACGCCTTCTGAATTTGAAGTATATTATTACGTACAATGCATCAATCTAGAAAGCTCTGAGGTAGCAGCAGATATGGACGTTGAGTAATTTGAAAGCAGCAGCTTGCAGTCAGTCCTTCCCTGAAGGAAAACGTACAGTGTATGCAGGTGGCCCAAACCTATGTTGGAAGGAGTTTTTTTCTGTCCAGTAAAATCTGGTTAAATCCGGTGATGGAACAGGTGTCCGTGTGGGGGCTGACGTTTGCGTAGTGCAGGGGAGACTTCTTACAGTGAAACTTGATAGAGCCCTACGAGAAAAGAGGTGGAGAGGTCAGTGGATGGCTTTGCCAGACTTTAAGCTCATTTTGCTATTCAGACAAAGTAGTGCTGTGGTATACAAGCAACTAGTGAATATGGATAAGGGCAGAAGACGACCTCCAAAGGAGTCCTAGTACAAATGGATTTAAGAGAAATGATTACTACAAAGAGTACCAGTACTGTAATTTGAACTGAAATTAGCTTAAACTCTGAAGATCTGAGTATGTAGTCAGTACTGAACTTGGTTCTGCTTCTTCCTGCTTGTAGCAGCTGACCAGGCACGGGCTGCATACTTGCAAACATGATTTTATGCAACCTCAGAAATGTATCAACAGGAAAACCAAGCACAGGCACAAGCGGATTGGTAACCAGAGTGCAACTTCAGAGAGGAGCCAGCGTGGGCTGTGGCTTGTCATAAATGGTCTCTAAGACTGTCCGGCATGTGCATGGGAGGTGAAGTACTGGATGGTTGCTCCCCGTTTTCTGCCCTGAAAATCCTGTGTAAATTAGTCTGTGCAGTTGTCTGCACAGTGAAGTTAATACAGAATTACTGGGATATTATTAATGCACCCAGTGGCTTTTCCCCAAGTGGAAGCTTTTTCATGTGTTCACCTGTTGTGCAACTTGAATCCCCTAAGCAGAAAAAATACACGTGGTACGTAACAGAGCCCACGCTGGAATCCTCTGCCCTCCCTTTCTGAGGCAGAGCTTGGATCGGTTTGTTCCTATGACAGAGATCAGTGAGTTTTGGTGCTGAATTCAAAGTCCCGGCGCAGCCCTGTGCCTAGCTCGACCTACTGATCTCAGTCATCCTCGCGTGTCTAAGCCAGTGGAATAAGGAAGACTGTAGCTCGAGAGCAGCCTTCGTGGTGGCTCTGCTCGACAGAGTTCAGGTTCCTTAACTCATGGCAGCTTAGCTGTGCTGCTGAGGAGTGCACGGGGTTTGTTACCTGTGGGAGAGCTCTAATGGAAGTGATGCCGCAGCCAAAGGAACAGCTTTCCACCTTGTAGCAGTCGCTCTCCTGAAGTACTTTGAGGCACGCCAGCAGGGACTGGTCTCTCCGAAGTCCCGTTACAGTAACAGGGGCAGCAGCCAGGACAAGGCCGAGAGGCCAGAACTGAATTATTGCCTGCAGAGGCCAAGATGTTTCCAAAGAGCAAGGTGCTTTGGCCAAGATCCCCATAGCTCCAGGAACTGAGAAGAACGCCTTTTCTTCACCCTCATCCAACTCTGCTGCTGCTAATGCAGCCATTTTTGCCTGACAAAGAGATGCAGAACAGTATTCTTAGTTTTGCAGTTTTGAATTTTGATCAAGAGTCTAAAAAAAGGGGGCATCTTAAAGGATAGGACACCTTTTGGGGTATCTTCCCATTTTATGAAGGTAAGGAACGAGTTCATTCTGCAGTCTTTATGCTGCCACGCTGTAAGAGCAGCTGTGCAAGGCTGGCATCCATCTTCTACTCTTCAGCTAGAGAAGAGTTTTCTGCAGCACTGACAGCACGGGGTTTGTGCAGTAACTTGACAGAGGTAGATTGTTTCTCAGACACTAGAAACCCTCGGTCGCTCAATTTCAGTGCTTTCCTGTACCAATGTACTTACCTTCCATTTCCTCCAGCCACGCTTAATGACATTAGCAGCCCTGCGCATCCTTTGGAAGCGATTCTTGGCTAACCAGGAACGAACAGCTGAAGATTTAATTAAAAGAAAATGAGCACAAAGAATCTCAGAAGCTCCTGCACACAATGTACGAGACGGCATGTAAGCTTCCTCCGTGTTCAATTAACGTAACCGCTCCTGCCACCGTAAACATCCAGCGTAACTGGAAATGTTACTTGTTATGTTCAGCCACACCCTTACCCCATTACCTGCTTGGATGAGGGTTGCAGACCATCTCTCCTTTGCTAGTTTCTTCTGCTTAAATCTTCTCCAGCAACACTGAATGCAAAATGCCTTCTCATTTAACACCTCTGCTCTTCTAGCTTCAAGTTGCTCCAGCTGCATTGGGGATACGAGCCTGCAGTTAATGCTCGGGGCTGGAGTTGTGTTCGCAGCTCTTCCCTCTTCTACAGCCTCGTGGTGTTTGCCAGAACATCACAAGCACAATTCAGCATCCTAAGACTGCTGGATTGGGGTTTAGAAGTGCGAACACTTCTGCAGTGCTTATTAGATAACACGTAAAACGGAAATGTAAGCATCTGAGGGGCAAAGGAGTGCTGTGGGGGAAAAAGTGGACACTCCCGAAGTCACAGTAGCAGCTGGCTTAAAACCAGCTCCGTTGACAGGGGTTCTTGCACAGCTGCATCCTCCAGTATGCAAGCCTTGCAAAAAGTGCATTCATCTCTGACAGAGAAGCTGCTCGGGGCTGTCAGAGCAGCCGAGGCTGTCAGCTGAAGCCAAGGAAAGCTGTCAGCTTTCCTGGACCCGGGAGGATAGTGGCAACACTGGGCAAAGCGCAGCTCCTTGTCTGTTAGCAACAGGGACGCCATTAAACAAAGCGCTTCTGATAGCTGGATTCTGCTGGATGTTTGACTTGGTTTAATGATTTGAAGGAAAATGCCAAATTCTGGCCGCGCTGGCATGAGCAGGAGTATCGCCTAAACCGTGATGATGATCGGTGCCAGAATCCCCATTACGCAAGCGCTCTCTGGAACTGTTAGCCAAGGAAGCAGCACTCTTACCACAGAATTAGCCATAAATACTTTGGTTTTGCCGCAGTACACAGAAGTGTTTTCCGCTCTGTTCCCTGGCTGCTCAGCAGTTTGTCCTGTAACAACATTCTGAAGGATCTCAAAAACAACAGAACGTGATGCTTTGTCATCATCCACCCCTGGAATCTTTCCTGCAAGTGAAGAATTGAAGAGAAGGCGTCACAAAACTTGGAAATGAGGACCAAACTGTCTTTACACTGAGACTTCTTGTCCGTTTAGGGGGGATTCACCTACAACAAGAGGGCAGGAGATGATTGCTGAGACGTCACTAGATCTAGCTGTGTTTAAGGGAAACTGTGACAGCATACATTTTGCCATGTGCTAGCAACTAGAAAACCAGCGTGGTGTGTTTTAACTAGGGTGTAGGTTTGGGTGCTGTCTTCCCACCTCTATTATGCCCTATCCATAGGTGACAAATGCCATTTTGGGTAGATGTAGACAAACAGACATACAGAGGGCTCAGCTGTTCTCACATTGTTTAAACCATCCTATGTGGAAACATTAGAAAGCAACAGCAATGCAATTCGGAACAGATTTGAGCACCTAGTCCTAAGAAAATCTGGTGAAATACCCAAAACTCAGAGCTGGTGGGAACAAAGAACATAAAGCAAGGAACTGGACTCATAGCCTTAATGTACTGAAAGATGCAGGAACAGAAAACCAATTGTACACAATTCTACAGCTTTCACAGGGCATCAGAAGCTGCCACAGGGACATGTGGAGTTTATTGCAGCAGTAAGAGGTTATTAAAACCATTTCTGGGACATAGTACACAATTTTTTTACATTATGAGACAAGGTTCGCCAGATGAATCTATCTGGAAACAGAGGTAGACTGAATTCAGACCTGTCCTTGAAAGAGATTGTGTTGTTCAAGGCAATGCTGCATGAGCTTCTGCATGCCCAGTGCCGGACTTGGTGGTCTCTGTATCTTTCCGTCCTGGATACTGTTTGCTTTTCTGCTATACATATTTCTAAGGAGATGAGAGCATTTTAAGGTACTGGAAACAAATACAAGCAATTCTTGCTTACAGGAAGACATCTGGTGACTATGATGGTGTTCACGGGGCTGGGCTGATAAGGGAACCAAATGCTTATCCCCCTTTTTAGGAAATTGTTTTGCTTTGTCTGCAGCATGTTACCTGCCGAAGATCAAAAGCTGGACCAGTAACCTATCACAATGAGGCATTTCAGCTAATGGCTTTCTAATTGAGGGAGAAAGATATGGTGTGTAAGTAATTTTCCAGCCTCTACTTCATTACTTCATTCCATTTCCGCAAGATGAATAGATTTCCAGCCATTTTACTTATCTGACACGGGCTGGTACTTACTGGTCCTGCTTCCCACATCTAGTGGTTACTGAACAGACCCACTGGGTGAAGATGGGATTAACTGGGGAGAGAGAAGGGCGTGGCAGTAACTTTCAATATGAAATGTAACATCCGATGAGCTCCTTCCTTCAGGGGTTCCTACCAAAGGTGTTACCTTGCAGACTGGATTGTGTTTGTTAAAGTCCATCCTCGCTCTTGCTTAGACAAAAGAATCGCATGCAGAAGTTTGCAAAAGGTAGAAGAAGCAGCAGAATCCAGGTAAGCTAGAAGGTCAGTGTGTTCGGCAAGCAAACGAGGGGGAAAGAAAGGAAGGAGAAGGAATATAAGCAAAAAGGTAAGTGGTTTTCAAGGCTACTCAAGAACCAACTCTAAATCAGATTACATCGGGGGGGAACCCCAAACACCATCGTAATGGTAATTGTTCTACCCAAGAGGAACACTGAAAACCAGCAATAAGACGAAAGATTGGCAGAATTTTAGAAAGAGCCCGCTGTAAGCGTTAGGCAAATTAGAAACTCAAGCTGGTGATAGATTAGAAAAATATTTTGAGAATAGTGGTGTCCCTAGCGCTGAATACAGTAACGGCATCTGAGCTATGCGATACCATGTTGGTGCAGTGATAATTTTACTTGATAGCAGAGAATTATCTAAAGAAACATACCTTTTTTCTCAGCAGTATGATAGTTGCTTTTATCACACACTCTGTTTTTATTGGCCCCACATGATTTTCTCAGTATTTCATAGCGCTCAGTGAAACTTTGGAAAGGGATCCTGACAGACAAACGTACGGTTAATTCTAGGCAAGTGTCATTTACTGTATGGTAAATAACCTAGCCTTTGGGGGGGAAAAAATTGCTGAATGGTTTCAACAATCCAGGGCAGAAAATGCAAATGGACTGATGCCCGTGCAGCCACCAAGAGGGAAGAAAATACAGACTTCCCGAAGAAATGCAGGAGTCTGCCTGTTGCCCAGTACCAGACAGTGACTTTTGCCTGTTGCAAAGACTGGGCAGGCATTGTGCTTGTTTCTGGTAACGGGGAGCCTCACTCCCTCGATACTGAGCTGTCAAAACCGTGGCTAGCTCAGGCCTCGTTCCCTCCAGCCTCTAAAGGTGGTCAGGAAAGCCCAGCAAGGTGACTGGCTGCGATGAGATGCTCGGCTTGGATATGACTATGTTTAGATGAATGCCATTTATAATTTAATTTTCATTGCTGAAAATGCTACTGTGAAGCCACACTCTCAATTAGAAAGTTTTAGTATGTGATAATCCACATCAAAACATCTCTCCCCTAGCTTCTCAGACCGGAAAGGTACAGCAACCTCTCAGGCAGGTCAGGGGTGTGTTACAGGCACATCTGGGCTTTGTTAGCATTTGGTATATTTTTAAGAATCCCATTGTCTGGAACGCAAGTTGCCCTAGCACTGCTTCCTGTGCTGTTACTGCGCTTTTGGACTTGCTGAATGAGCAGAGTTTCATTCTCCAAAACACAGAACACCGGTCCAGCTTTGTGACAGGTACTTTTGTCTCCAAAACATGGAAGAGATGTGCTCAGACAAGCTTGAAAGCCAGCAGTGAGCCGAACTCTTCAGACAGCTTTGAAAGAATCAGTAGTTTTGTGGTCTGAAACAGACTGCACAATATCTGGATTTCCTGCTCATAAGCTCTTCTGAATAACTAATACGCCACTAATTGCTATAGAAATGGATTATGGAAGACATTGCTCAAGAAATTTGGACTTACCTAATAGGGAAGCCCGCTGCACTGATGGTGATTGCTTCGACTATTCCACACGCCTGAAGCTGGCTGAGAACCTGAGGCATAAATCGAGAAGGTTTAGGTCACCACCGTCTGCAGCCACGGAGCTACTGCTGTGAGCGACGCCCCGAGCAGGGCTGACGCAGAGGGACCGTCCTGTTGTGCCCGCTCTTGCGGTATCCACGCACCCTGCGCTGACCGAACGCAGCACGACACGGAAACCTGGTGTTGGTATTTTACTACTATTTGCATGCAATCAGCAAATTCTCCTAGCATTTAAAATTAATGCAGCACTACTCCAGCTGCTTGTTTTTGAGGTTCTCCAGTCATAGCTTTGCCATCTGACGCTCTGCTCCCAAAGACATGCTTGGCAGCTGATCTCATCTAACTTGTCCTAGAATAGACTCCAGGAGCAAGCAAAGTTTTGTTGTGGGCATTCACTGTGAAGATACTGCTGAGCAGTCGGATCACCTTTATCTATTTTGAGGGCTGGGCTGGCAGCACCCCAAATAACTCAGGAGTGCTCTGGTAAGAACTTCTCATACAGCAACAAGTAAGTTGCACCTGGAAGAGCTGCTGTGCTTACTAGCTCCATTTTAGACAAGCATCACCAGTGATTCTCAAAGGATGTTCATCTTGGAAGCTCCAAAGGAGAAAAAGCTATTAGAAAATGTGCTGTGGAAAGAGCCTTGCAAGGGACTCAAGAGACCCAACACAAAGCCCTGCACAATGTCTTTAGGAGGCTTCTCCTTGACCCGCTGAGGAAAGGCTTTTGCAAAGTTACCTCTTCTCTTTTGAAAGTCATTGCCTTGCAGTCAGCATTAGGCTTGATGCAGCGGATGTAATGCGGCGTGGTGCTGTTCAAAATCTGCATGAGATGTTCAAGTGAACCCTGTGAAAAAACAAATACAGGTTTAATTAGGGACTCCTCCTCCACAGGTAGTTCAGCTAATCACTGATCTTATATAAAAACAATGGAGCCGATTTCTGCAAGGATGGCTTTACAGACTCGGTGTCAGCAGAGCTCTTCCATAAGGACAGCGTGAGTAAAAAATCCACTCTGTGGATGCTTTTGTAAAATTGTTGAGGGCAAATTCATAAAGTTCCCAAAATTACAGTGGGGCCATCAGCTGAAGCTAACCCCTCATGAGGAACAGGTAGGAAGAAGCCTCAGAAATGCAAGTGCCCAACAGTTAAAAGGAAAAGGTAAAACTGGAGTGAGTTAAAACCCAGAGAATATCAGGAGTCTGAAGCTATTTCTGTTTTACAGTTGTTCCATTTCAATAACATTTACTGCTCTTGGTCCAACCATACTGTTTTCTCATCCAGTTACGAAGACAGAAATCAGAGGCTTGAATAGGATGTACCTTGAACTTTGACACCACTGTAACAACAGCTGCTCTGTTCTGCGTTTTGATGTTATTTTGGTTCCTTTCTGTCACGGGAAATAATTTTTGAAGCAAAGGGTCCTTAGAATTCCGCAAAACGTGGACCAGCTCTGGTGGAATGGGGTCCTGCAAACACAAACATGACTCCTTAGTATTTGGACTTGGGCAGAAACCGGCCACCTTCGAAAATGACTCAAAATTTAACCTACATAGATGGAATAGTATTTCTGATGCCAACTTCGATTTAACCACAGCCATAGTTTCAAATCTGACTACAAACATTCATTCATAGTCAAGATTCAGGAACAGAAAACAATGTTTGGCTCAATATTTCGCACATCTAGTCAAATGTGCGACTGCTCCTAATGTTGTTCTTGTGATACAACTGAAGTGATCTAGAAGTCTCAGGACTAGTTTAATCCCCATAGGACAGTCTGCAACAGACATTAGAAAGTGTTTTCCTTTTAATTAAGAGATGGTATTTTATTGCATCACCTAATACCACTCGCCATAATTGCTGGTGCTGTCAGAACTGAACAGGGACCCTCCTCTCTGCAGACCATTTCACTTACTCCCTGATGGCACAATGAGGCCAAAACTCGGGTTTCCTGGTACTTCCAGAACTTCCAGTAGTCAAGTCCATGCTCTTGTTTCTCATAAACTTATCTGAATTTTGGGGGGAAGGGACCCTCCTCTCTGCAGACCATTTCACTTACTCCCTGATGGCACAATGAGGCCAAAACTCGGGTTTCCTGGTACTTCCAGAACTTCCAGTAGTCAAGTCCATGCTCTTGTTTCTCATAAACTTATCTGAATTTTGGGGGGAAATGATGGTTATATAGATGGTTATGGTTATGTAAATGCCCCAATGCCATTAACACTTATGCATTGTCTCAGGAATGGAAGCAGCTCTGATTTGGTGACATTTGGTCTGCTTAATCCTCAGCGGAAGGTCTGCTAACAAAGCATTTGCTTGTGCCAGTGAGTGATGGTTCCCTAAAAATCTGAGCAAGAACATTACCCAGTTTTACACGGCATGAAGGATTTATTTGGAGCAAGGTATGTACAGCCAGTAAATGCCACTGCATACACACATTAGTGGTGCCTTGACTTAAGTAGCTTTTGGTCTGTAAGATGGTTTTGGTTTGTTTTTTTAACAGCTCTTCTGAAAACACCTACCTTATTTTTCTCCACCATTGCTGCCAGCTGATAGCAGACTTTGCCAGCATAATGTGAAATAATAAAGTTAGGCTTCTTACTAAACTTGTTTCGACTTAAACATTGATTATTAGCCAAGGCTTTCTCAATCCGAGTTTGAAACAGGTCAGTGTTAGAGGATCTATTCAGACGGCACTCCTGCATAAAAAAACAAGACAAAACTGCAGCATCTCTTACTTGTCATAATGAACTGTCTTTAAAAGCTAAGACACTTTAACTTAAAATCATAGCCATTTTACTTTTAGAGTTGCTTTGAGTACACAAGCCTTGAAATACTGTGGGGGCAAGAAAAAAAGTAATCGAGGCTTTGTATTTGAATCAGAACATCCTAGATCAGAGTTAAAAAAAAGGCAGAATAAGAAGCAGCAGTGTCACGATTGTTCTGAAAAATAAATTCTGCAGAAATTTTATAGCTGACAAGTTTCCTACTAATTTACTGTTCATGTTTTCTTTGGTGGCATGGAAGGGAAGGCAGGCAACTAGGCCAGAAGCATTAGGGGTTTAGATCCACACTTACCTCATTCAGCAAGGCAAAAATGCTGAGAGGGTTGCCCTCTATCAGATCAAGGCAGCTCTGGTTATCCTGGTAGTTTACGAAAGACCACTGCAGGCCTTCGGCTGCATATTCTTCCTGAAGCCAGAGAGAAACGGGTTACTCTGCGGCAGAGGGCACTACGGCTCAAATACCGGCCGGCCCTGTGCCGTCTGATGCAGCTGCTGTTGAACGAGTTAATCCCAGGCTCAGCCTGCTCATCCCAACCGTGTTCAACAACAATCTTGAGGAAAAAAAACAAATGAGGATCTTCTAACCCAGGTAACTTTTGAGTACGTAGCAGCAGATCCTGCCGGAGCAATCTGTTTAAGTATTTGGGAACCTCACAGATTTATCAGAGAGCTGCCAGGCTGCTTTACAGAGGCTCCACTCACACTGAGCCTCTCCTGGCTCTACCGAATGTTGCCCTGAAGGGCACAGAACGCACAGAACTCCTTCCTCAGGCTGGGACATAGCCCTACACCAACCATTGTGTCCCAGACCTTACTAACTGGGCTCCATTTAAAAGAAAGCCTGAGCCAAAGGGAAGGAGAAAGATACTGGTTGAAATAATTTGTACGCTGAATTACAGCACAAACTGTCAGGAGCGTTTAACAAGCGCAAGCTCTGGTCAGTTATTTTAGAAGTCTCCTGCCAAAAGCTAGCTCAGCTCAGCACAGCCACTAATGGCGTTAAGTGGTTTGGGACACAGCCAGATCAAGAGAGGTAAGAGGGCAGGCAGTAACTGGGAGGGGTACAATAAACAGAGGTCATGACTCAGTTTCAAGGAAAGTAATTGTGTGCTTGAACTTGCTTCCATCTTCACTGACCATTAACCCCTGGTATACTGACGAGGGCAGGCAGGAAAAAACCCACTGGGCATCTGAAAGCACAAATTATGGTCCAAGAGACACTTATCTCCTGAATAAATTGACAAAACTATGCCGTTAGGCAGAAGGGTACCATCATGCTGGTGCCGTAAAGAAAATAATTTCCCAGATTCCTGTCAATGGCAACGAGCACTGTGGTAACGTGTGTGGCATGGGGAGGAATTCAACAAGGACTGAAGTACATCTGTTAGAGGAGCAGGCCGGGCAGGGACTCTGTAGCTTTCAGAGCACTCAGATGAGAACTGGAATTAGCAGTGTGTGACCAGTTAGGCAAGTGACTGCAATGCATTTAGCACGGTGCAAATAGCTTCTCTGCTGTGAAACAACACAACTCGTGTACCTCCTTGTTCAAAACTAAAAGCTGATGTGCAGTGTGTTTTTGTCTTTCAAGGTAGCAGCCTGAAAACTGGGTTTCTGAAGCGGCTCTCCTGCGGCAGAAGGCCTCCACCAGGTACTGCATGCCACTGACGGTCGGGTTACGAGGTTCTGCTGGGCTCTCTGCTTCGCACTAAGGTCAGCTCCTCACTCATTTGGGTACCTCATGCTCAGTGATCAGAATTCACATGGTTACATGCCGCAGCTTCCAAGAGAATCTTAATTTAGGCTACACTTACTTCAGGAATTTAGTTTTGTGTTCAGCGTTTTGAGGGAATGCAAACAGTTTAACAGGTCACAGAGCCAATGTATAACAAGGAACAGATTTCCAGCACCCCAGGAGAGAAAGCTGTCTCATTCCATCAACGGCTCCACACTCTCCTCTTTAAAATAGCAATCTTTACTCACATCCCACTGATTTCTGTGGCATTATTTACTCAACTGAAGGTTGCAATCTCATCAGAAATACAATTAAAGAGACAAAAGATGCTGGTTTAAAATCAGATCTTTAACATTTGATCTTCCTGGAGTATTACCTGTTGTGCCTTCAGGTAGTGTGCGACAAAGTGCTGCTGCAGTTTCTCATTGGCGTAGTTAATACAGAGCTGTTCCAAGTTGTTTTCAGGGAAGGCTTCAAAACCATAAACATCCAACAAACCTAGGAACACGGGAAGACAGTGCCCTTTGGTCTCACAGGCAGCTGAAGGACTTACGGTTAGTCAGTTAAACCAGGGATGACCAAGCCATACCTATGAAGCTGGTCCACACTGATGGATCTGCATAGATGCTTTCATTTATGACCAAAACGAGCCATTCGAACAATCTGCAGACAACAAAACCGGATTAGTTGGAAAGTGCTTGCTTACAACAATCAGAGTAGTGTGCTTTTACTGCTGTTTTCACCAGTATCACATGGAAGAAACAAAAAAGCTACGACATGCTGCCCGCTGACATGAAACAGCCGTTCTCTGAAGATCTCTCCGCCAGATACCGCAGCTATGTCAGTATCTACAACCGCATCAAAGGTGTGCCGAGCAGGGAGGGGAGGGTTACGCTGTTATTGAGTCCAAGCAGAAAGCCAGGGCAAGTAAATCCCTCTGGCCTCTCTTTTCCCTCACAGAAGCTGCATGGATTAGCACAGCAGCCTGGCCTGCGTGTCCTTACTTGGCGTAGATCGCTTTGGCGAGGCAGTCCCTCCTAGTCTCACATTCAGCTCTCGAGCATGGCTTCTTGAAGACTTGTTGTTGTTTTCCAGCAGTTATTGTTCGAATTCTTAATGATTCCAGTAGTTCCTCGACAGATATCTTCAGCAAATCTCCAGCAGTCTTCACAAAATCTTGTTCAGGAAAAATAACATTGCAAGATTATCTGGAGTGTCAAATGGATGCAGCCCCTTTAAAGTTACGGGAGGTCTTGAGAGGATACAGAAAAATGACACTTCCAGGAACTCGCCAACTTAAATGTGGATTTTGGATCTTTTCACCCAAACTCACCAGAAAGTTTTGCAAGACCAGCCTCTAACTTTGGATGTACAGGACCCCAAGAATTGCAGGTACTCTATTTCAAATGCAACAACAATATCAAAAAAGTATGTAGTTTGCCACACTGAAGCTGGCATTTTCCGGAGTACTCTCTAGGCGTGTCTTTGTTACTTTTTCACCCCTTTCCTTCAAATCCAGATAGGAAGTATCAAACAGCCATGACCAGAAAAAAAAAAAGAATAATTTTGGGGATAGTAAGGAAATGTAATCCCTTCATTAGAGGAATGAGTATTTGCAAACGAAGCATTTAAGATCTTTGCTGAGCTGTATGCAAAACTATTTGAATATTAACTAGTTTGAATTCAGAGCATGGGAAATCATAGTAGGAAACTTCACTATTCAAGACAGTGTTGCAGTTCTGAAGGGTCCACAAACCTCCTACAGACAGGCAGAACAACCTACATTCTACGCTGCAATTCAACAGATTTGCTGTTACTAAGCGGAGTTTTAGCCTTTATCATGAAAACTTCAAAGCTTTAATTTTAAAAAGCCCTGCTCTCCACTCTGGGTCAGATTTCTGGAAGTCTTGTGATGTCAGCGTAAGATTACAATCAAGAGTAACAGTTCTGCCAATAATCCTTCTGAAACGACTGTCTAATGTTGTGGCTGCCTTGACCTGTAACAGAAGGATATTATCTCTCAGAGCAGGGGAGCGTTAGGTTTTGGTTTGTTCAGTACTTTGAAACTGTGAAGTACCGAACAAAAACGTGCCCAGATTTTGGTCTGCCCATGACCGTGATCATCTCCTGTCAAGCAGAAGAGCGTAGTATAATCCTTTCTATTAGGCATCTGCACTAAGACAACAAGACTCTGTGGAGCACGGCATGCTTGTTGCCTCACCTTTGGCTTTGTCTTCTAGTTCACAAGGCTGAGATTCATCCACTGGATTAGAGAATTGAACGTTCCCAAGATGGAGAAGGCCTGACAACACCTGAAATATGACCAAGCATTGAGTTTTCTACAACAGAGCTCCCCTCCAAGGTGGTGTCCGCTTAGCCTTCCCTTAGCCACAGGAACAGGACAAGTCAAAACATTTCTGCACTAAAAAAAGCAAGCAGATTCCAAGCTTCTATGCTAATTGCTATTGCTGCAATTACTGAAGGAAAACTAAAGTTCACAGGTGCAGGCTTTTAGTTAAGAACTAATATTTGGTTATGCAACCTAATGCGATGCGTAGCTGCAGGCCCTCCAGTCAGGAATACCAAAAACCCATGCCCTATACATTGATACACATTTATTTCTGCAGAAATCCCATGCTAAAAAGACATTCCAAACAGCCTCAAGGTGACCATGCTGTGTACCTGACCTTGAAAATATTGTTCTGCGTGGAGCGGTCAATGCCCAAGTGAAACATTGCGTCTCGGGTCACCTCGAAGCAGTCCTCTGAAAAGCCAAACAGGTGCTGTTTACAAGAAAGCCATGCACACCAACACGGGCAAGCAGACCACTCCACACCACCGCCAGTTCAGCTGCAATTGTCCAAGGAGATCGAGGAGGGCAGATGCTCTTTTGGTATATCCCAGAGTACAAGCTGAAGAACCAAGTCGTTGACTCAGTACTGGCTCTGAAGTTGGGCAGCAGGTTGCTGAAGCACATCCAAAGACGAGACGGTTTCTAAACATAGCCACGGAGAGATGCAAATTCGCTAGGCCAGAAACCGCTGTTTTAAGCCAGATGAAAACTCTTCATAGTGCAAACTGACATTTAAAAAGCATTACATTAATGCAGGTGGCTTTGCAAAACGTCTGCTGTTGGCTGGCCAGCCTGGGTCATGGGATTTAATAGAGCAGATGCATTTCTGCCTGCCTTCCTTTAAAGTTACAGCCGTTATCAATGGACAGTCTGTGAAACTAATCTTTACCGTCTAAGTTTCTTTCAGAATTTGGCAGCCAGCGGAAGTCAGCCCCTTCTGGAAGGTTCCACTCCAGCCTCTCCTCTGCAGTGGCACCTTTTGTGATCTGGAGACAGAAAACAAGGTAACGACTGAATTCTGCCTTTGGTATTTACACCTCGCAGACAATGAAGAGTAGCACGCTGGCAGCATGATTTAATTTGGAAGCATGCAGACAGGAAAACTGTTAAATATTAAAAGTTGCAACTGTGCTAAATCTAGTGATTTCATCCCCACTGTTTGTCAGAAATATCTAGCAAAATTAACTGAAGTCAAACCTGATAAAAAATATGAAAGTTTCTTTCATTGGGAGCCTGATAGGCAACTCTGGTCTTCTCCAGAAGGAACGTCTGAATGGAAGCACTACTCAGATGGTGGAATCTAGGCAGGGGGGGAAAAAAGCGCAGATTTCAACAAAGCTCCAACAGGTGTTGTGTTGTCACGATACTGACGGACTATGAATGCTTTGCAGTTCACCTTCACTTTTGTGCAAGCTTAATGTAACATTTTACTCAGCGTTCTTAACTGCATCTCTGTTTTTCCATTGCTCTCTTTCAGAGATCAGGGTGAGAGCTTGCAGGGAGAAAGAAGGAAGATAAAAATAATAATGTAAGCCACCAGCAAACCAAAATACGTTCTAAAGACAGATAGAATATTCTATGGCAGCCTTCAGAAACAGGTTTGTAAAGACTTAAAGGAAGAAGACAATAGATAAGGTTTTTACACAGCAATTATTACCTGTCTAACTGCAGCTGGATATATTTTCCAAAACGGCTACTGTTGTTATTCCGCAGGGTACATGCATTTCCTGTGAAATTGCCAGTGACAGATACAGCATAGTCAGAGTGGTTCCACTCTTTGTGTAGGACATACAGATATGAAGGGTGATTTGTATATAGCTCCAGTATTTGAAGAGTTTGTCTTTTAAGCAGAGGACTAAGAGCTAGCTTAGACTTGTGTATGAACAAACAAAATTCCCACAGTGGCCACTACTTCTTTTTGCTATTAAAAAAGCCTCATTTACCAAACGCTTCCATGACAGGGTTGGAATCCAACACTCTCTTCTCTATCCTTTCCACAGTTTCATTGCCTTTTGGAGAGATGACTGAAGCAGCAACAGAAGCATAGAATTTCATAAGGCAGCGAGATGTCCAGGTCTGCAAGAGAGAGGCTTGACAGCAGGCCTTTGCTTTCACCATGTTATTAGTTATGTCAGTTAGCGAAACAGTGCTAGCTTCTGAAAACACAGTATGCAGCTGGCGACGACGCTAAAGGGAGTGATTGTGTCAGGTTTATAGCTCTAGCTCAGTGGGAACTTTTTGTGCGAATGCTTACGCGCAACAGACACACATTTGAACGCTATTGGAGTTGGAGTGCTTGGCTAAACGGCAGTCTTATCACGATGTAAGCATCTGGAAGCTCAGCTGGAATGAACAGCTAATATCTTAAGATGAACTGAATATAAATGGAATTTGAGTCATCAACACTCAGCAAATCGTTTTGTTCTCAGGCTTAAAAATCTCCTGGCTGAATAGGGATGGACCATTACAGAAGGACCCAGGACAGGATCTGAAGTCTCCCACTTCTTCAAAGTCTCTACACAGGGTGTGCCGAGACCCACACTAGCTCCCTAACAGACTAGGCTGAGACGTTAACTCGGGTGCAATTCCTGTTGAATGATTCAAGTCTAGCCCTCCCAGAAATTACAGATGTCACCTACAGAGCAGCTATATTTAGCAGTGTCTATTTGACTGCTGAAATCACTTGAAGAAAGTCCTGCTAGAGCAGACTGGCTAGGTGCTCTGTCAGAATATTTTTTTCTTCATCTTTGCTTGTTCACTGAAACACTGTGTGCTACAAATCATTAGCAAATCTCAAAACTTAAGAGCAATGTCAGGAAAAAATCTCCTTACCTTCCCAGCACCACTTTCTCCACTAACAATTATAGACTGGTTGACGGGGCCTATCTGGCTTTGGACGTTCCGGTAGGTCTGTTCAGCCACTGCAAAGATGTGAGGTTTTAAATCCTGGCAGTAAAAGAGAATATACATATTTAAGAGAAAAGTAATTACAAAGTTCAACAGCAACGGACAGCAAAGGTCTTCTCACGTTTATCTGAAAGCAGTACTGCTCTTTTAACGGAACTCATATTTCACTAGAAATGGGTTTTATCCTTTAAGATTATTTTGCTTATATAGATTTTGAAGAACTTGATGTCTGGGTTCTGCGAAAGGACAGTTATTTCAATACAAGGATTACCTGGGGACGAAGTGCAACATGGTACTCTCTCATAAGCTCGGGTGAATAGAGACACGAGATAGGTTGAAATGGATTTAAAGCCACCAGGCTGCAGCCAGCATTGGTATAAAACAAGTTTACTGTATATCTTGCTTGAAGACATTTCAGAACTGAAAGACACACCTTCTGTTAGCATCTTTTGAAAAGTGTATTTAACATTTCCTGTTGCTGTTTGTAACAAAAATCTTCAGATATGTTACCTATTAGGTGTAACAGAGAATGAGGTGATCAAGAGAGTGATGCAGGTTTAATACAGATAACAATGTCTTCATAAGCTGCCCTTATTTGTAAACATCTTAAGGGATCTGTTAACTATACCATTCAATAAATCCTGTGCTTTTATGAGGTTTCACATAGTGAGTCCTAGAAAGAAAATCTGTTCACTTGCAGAACAAGCAGAATTCCCCACCTGCACTAGGAACAGGCCTTAGCTTCTCTTGACAGCATCATCTTTAAAAGTTGAGTGAGGAATTTACTTTTCAAAACCAATTTCATGGATATATTTTGGATCTAAGTTAGAGCCTCGTTTGCTGGTGTGTTCACGTAGCGCCAGACTACAATCACAAGGTCATGCAGGAGCCCTGCGATAGCCTCAACGCTCAGCTGCACGCTGGCTACCTGCACCAACAATACAAAAGTGAGCTCTGTGTGCAGAGCTTGATAAGATATCAGCGTGGCTTAATCTACAATAGAAGTATTTCTTAAAAAATTCAACCAAGCCAAATAGGACTTTCTAAGGCTTTGATTAGGCTTCAGTAGGATTTGAATCTTTAACTACTGTGTTCACGACAGTATTAATGCAATGAGAACGGTAACTACCGTACATTAGAGCCACCAGGGCAAGTGACTCCCCAGGAGATACGCCTCTGGCTGGCTGCTTACCTGTCGTAGTTGTCACTGGATTAACTTTTGTGAGGTCATCAAAAAGATGCAGTTTCTCTTCATCACTGAGGAACACTCGAACTTCTTCTTCAAATGCTTCACTGAGGTCATTCTGGATGACAGAATCTTGTTTTTGGCCATTTTCCTGGAGAGGATGTCAGATCAGCACCAAAGGCTGAATATAGCTGGACTTTCACCTCACTCACGATAGTTTAGAGCTCTTCTGCTGCTTCCATGTAGCAGGAGTTCAGCCTCAGCAGGAGTCATAACTGAGGATGTTTGAGCTACTCTTCCTCCCAGTTGCCCTCCCCAGGCATCAATGGTTCCCATGGGGTGCTCTGTTTTCAGAAAGGTATTACCCAGCGCATGAGAGATGGCAGGCTGACAACACTGTCTGCACACTGAATTCATCGCTGGCAATGCTGGCCGTAAGCAAAGGCGCTCAGAAAGAACGTGTCCTTAGGCTCACGCTACCTGGCGCTTGCAATTGTGCACAGACACTCTTCTACAGTGTTCTTAACTGGCACGTTTCTAAGCCGAGGGTTGTCATGCATTCCGTGCAAACACTGCCTTGGGCAGAGGGGAGCAGGAAGGACTGGCTGCAGAGGCTAAGGCAGAGCTGCAGGCTACTGTGGTCCAACTGAAATGCAGTTTTCCTAGCAGAGACTTTCATTTTTCAAGCAGAGACTGAGGGCCCCCACAGTGAAGTTACAGAGGGCACGCATCGCAGCCAGGGGAAAGAAACGGGGGCATTGTAAGAGCTGGCCTGCATCAGGTGAAGATTTCTCCCCTTTGGATCACTTAAAGTATTTAAATCGTAGCCTCTGGGCTCCCATGTCCTTGACAATATTAGTTGGAAGGACACATTTGTTGTACACACATAATGGAAAACTTAGCCAGAAGAGAGACTTCAGGTCCTCTTTGTCATTTCTGGGGGGAAGGAGAGAGGAGCTATAAGGGAAAATGCAAAGGGAAAAGATGCCAGTCCTGATTTTTGCTTTCCAGATACTCCTTTTCTGTTCTCCTTGACAGAAACTCCTTCAAAGTAACCCTACTCATTTGTATTTAGTAGCATAAACCTGCAATTCTTTACAAGGTAACCAAGTCAATGAACAGTATCACCTTGTTTATACAGAAAAAAGTGCTAAATTCAGTTAGCAGCATTCCCACTAGGTGAGCTAACCTCATTTACAAAGGGGAAAATATACCGCAATACCCCGTTAACACATTTCTAAAAAAAAAATAAAGCTACAATAATGTACTCATTTAGGAGCATTATTACCTTTTGCAGACAGCATAAGTAGTTCATTTCCAGTATTACAATTTTTTTTTTTTCACAATTATGAAACACTGTGTGGACAAGAGGGGTTTCTGCCAGTCGCTCCCCCCTTCCCGTGCCCTCCCGTGTGTTCACTGGGTTACGCTGGCACCAGCCAAGCTCTTCAGTCTGCTGCGGAGCTGATAGTGCAAGATCTGAGAAAGGGCTTGTTTTTGCTCGCCTGCACCCCCTCGCTCAACATCGCTTCATTTGAGAAGAGATGGGGATCGCTTAGCCAAGGCAATATTTGGAAATACAGTCACTTCTCACAGCTCCACTGCATAGCTGGTGTGTCCACTGATCTCACGGAGAAATCACCCTCAGGGATGTGCTTGCCACATGCATTAACACCTGCCCCATTCAAGCCAATGGCACAACAAAAATCACGGCTGCCGCTAGTGACGCAGCTCAAACCACACAGTTAACAGGGCCCGCCAATTCATGAGGTGGGGGTGAATGTACATTAGCAGTTACCTAATCCTGACTGCGTGGAAACAAGCCAAGAATTCTTTCCTGGCAGTAAAATTTAATTAGCACACACAATTCTTGTTTTTCTTTTTACCTGCTTTGGCATCTTGTCCAGCCCTATGGACAGGAACGCTGGAGAGGGCCTTTACTCCAAGGTATCGCATTCAAATCAGACTGAAGAACGCTTAAATAATTAAGGAAAAAAAAAAAAAAGGCATTTAGAACAAACTAACTCTGGACATGTCATTCTCTGGAGGGTTCCACAAGCAGAGCCCAAAGGCTTCAGACAGAAGTACCGATCCCTGCGCGGCCCAGGTAACGCTGGAGCCAGAACTCCAACCCTCACCATCAGAGTGAGAGCCGTACATTCTGTGTGCCCCGGCAAATAAAGTGTATTTGGAGGGAGGGAGTAACGTATCCTTCCTTACTGCAGGAATAAAATGCTTTGTTTCTCTTGAATTAATAAAGCAAGGTTTCTTGGCAAGAAATCGCAGCTTTGTTGAGTTCCTCCTGTTAGGACAAATAGGAGAGATTTGTGGGTCTGACGGCGGCAGAGAAGCTCGGGCTTTGGGAAAGGGAGTGACTCGGGCAGGTTTGTATCGCAGCAGAGACAAGACGCGCTCGCTGGCTGCTGTCTTCCTGTTTCCTTCAAAAATCAGCGGAGGCCAATCCAAGGCGAGCCCAGCTCGCCCTCCGAATGTCCCTGAGCAACAGAGACGGCAGTCGCACAGCCAGCAAGAACGGGCTGCTTCCAGCACCTG